GTGTTAATGATTCATTATTCTCAGAAGTGAGCCATCTTTCTCATCTACCTGTGTCTGAGACGATGGTTGTTTTTAGTATAGATGCACATTCCATACATGGAGATGGTTTTAACTGTAATTTTATATGCAGCTCGTGTGGCATGGTTTAGTTTTGCTGTACAGGTGGCTTTTTTATTTTCTATTTGATGTCTTAAAATTATTGTTCAGTTTTTAAATTAGTCTATACTTATTTCTGATAAGCTCATTATGTCGTCAGTGTGTTTGGGTTGTGATGCTATGCTGTTACCACTGTTTTAGAGGTACTTTGGTGACCATGTATACGATGACATGGCACTCACGACCCAGAAGGTCACAATTGAGGTTTCACTATATTTCAATTCTAGAGAAACCTTAAAAGTTGATAGGCTTGGGATTGAACTTGGCAAATACTTTATTGGAAACTTACCACGGAAATGTTTATGAAAGTGTCCAAAACATTTTCTGCTGAAACTCTTTCTGTTAATTTTTCTCATTTGCATTTTTATGGATCTTTCAGTATGTAAAAAGTAAAGTTTGTCCCACTATACGCCATGTAGGCGTTTGGGGTGAGAGGAGGTATAGCTCCTCTCTTCCTTGACCTCGGCACTAGATGGGGGTGAGTGGTCAGCATCACGCCCCGGCCAGCCGGTGGTTGTAAGAAACAATGTATTTCCTAACATTGTGATGTCTTCACTCACTGGAGATTTATGATGGTCAATACAAGAGTAGTTCCTTGAAATATGCTTTACTTGCTCACTGTACAAGATCATTACTTTCTTTGATGCTGTCTGATCTCTGTAGTTGAAACAGCATTATAGAATAACTGAAGATTGAATCATTCTGAATCACCTATGCAAGAAAGTGTTATATAGCAATAATAAATTTGCCAACTTTGTTTTACAAGAATATGTGAATATACAGACATTGTAACTTTCTGACCCACCATTTACTTGGTGAAATATCAGGTACTTGCTGCATCAAATGTGAAGATGGCTGTCTTTTGGGATGTTGTGTCATATAGTCTGGTAGAGACTGATCGACATTTCAGAGGCAGTAAGTTACAGATTGCATCGTGCAGCATCTTGGAAAACAGCCGTCTTTGTCGTAATGTATTGTGTTTGGAAATGTGGAATTTCAGTGCCATTTAATTTGAAATTTGATAATTGGCCACTAGGTGACTCAGTATGCTCCAACTGTACTGCAGACTATCAGTAATCCAGATGGTACAGTGTCAATAATCCAGGTTGACCCCAACAATCCTATTATCACACTTCCAGATGGCACCACTGCTCAGGTCCAGGGAGTGGCAACCGTAAGTACTTGTAGGCTCTTGTTTGTGTCACCTGAAAGCACAGAGCTGTTTGTTTGAACAGAGCAGTCTGTACACATAGAACATAGTCACATAATAAAGTTATATTGTTTGCTACAGTATTTGAGTAATGGGTTGTACACACATAGTAGACAAGACTAAATGCAGCAGAAGACCATTATACTAAATGACATTGAGCATGACAGTATTTTCAGTCTACAAAATATTTTTCAGGTGTTTGTGAAATACCCTTTGTTGAATGTGAACATACCTGCATATTCAGTATTGCCATGCGACATGCATTATGAATGTACTCTTTTCAGTGCTCACCTCAAAAGGTTAACTACATTTAAATATTTAGAATAAAATATTTCACTATGAGAGGAGCCAGAAAACAGTCTTAGTACTTTTTTCACGTTTCTAATCTTGCAGATTCATACAGCACAAGGAGCTGATGGCACGCCTACCGTTCACACTGTTCAGGCACTTGCCGAAGTAGCGGCTGCACAGGGTGATGGCTTGGCTGTTGACCTCAACAATGTTACTGAGGCTACACTCAACCAGGATGGGCAGCTCATCCTAACTGGCGAGGATGGCCATGGTATGATACATTAAAATGGATGGGCAAAGGAGAGAACGTGTTTGTGTGAATCTTGCTTTTTTTTAAGTTCAGACGAATGAAGATATACTTATCGTGATTATTGTCATTGCTTGTATAATGTGCGTTTACAGCAGATATATTGCTTTAACCATCGTTTGTGTTGTGTTGTCACTTTGATGTGCTTTATTTCTGCACCTAGCTGGGTCTAAAGTAACATACAATTCCCAGATGTACAGAAAATGCCAGCTTCACTGTCATTAATACAGATCACAAAACACTCAGTTTGATCATACCAGTTTTCTGTGTGCAGGTTATCCAGTGTCTGTATCTGGTATGATCACAGTTCCCGTATCAGCATCCATGTATCAAACTGTTGTTGCCAACCTTCAGCAAATACACACACAAGGCGATGGCACTTTACAGGTGAGAACTGATGGACTATCTTATTATTAGCTGTTATAGCTTTAAAAAAAACAGACAGGATTCAGAAAGAAAAAACATTGTATTTTGGATCAAAATTAGTTGAATTAGAAATGTAAAATGTGATATTACAGTTCTTTCTAGCACAGACCATTGAGTGACAGTTGACGAGATTCATAGCTGTTTCACGACATGGAAGGATGGCCGATGCCGAACGCTTGAGAAGACTTCATTTAATTCAATCAATGTGACTGGTTCATATGTTATAATTGAATGTAAGAAAAGAGATTTGATGTGTGAGATTGTTGAATTTATCATATATAGCTTGTCAAAAGTGTTTTTAAAGGAAGCTGAAGTGAAGAAGAGAGTGTGTATTTGATTATTGATTCTGTTTTCACTCATTTTACGAGAAGCTTCATAGTATATATTTATAATATTCCATCCCTCTATTATCATAGTGCTATTTTTGCTGGGTTTTCTTATGCATGGAAGACTGCACAGAGAGAATACAATGCCAATGACCCTGTTTCTATGAATTGATTTTTGGTAAAATTATGTGTTGGGAACTTATCGAAATGGAAGCCTTAAAATAATTATTTTTTGTTCCTGCCTTGCAGTTCTTATGCTTTACTTAAAGGCCTAAGTGAAATATTTAATACTGTCATGTACATTGAATTTAAAAGTATTTAAGACTGAAGTCATCCTGCGTGGATGAATGTTTTATGTTCTACATGTATATATATCCATCTGCCCGCATAAAATGGATGATGCAAGAACAAGAAATTTATATGCACAATATGTTATGAGAAGCCATATGGTGTTAGTCTGGGTGAATAATATATAAAGAAGTTTAATTCCTAGAAAGTGTGAGCAGATTAATCAGCATTTCTTAACAGTCATATGAAATGTAAGCTTCCTTTGTTCTGGCGTATCTTAGGGAGAAGATCGCCTGTTCCAGGTGGTGACACCCATGGTACAAGTCCCGAAAGTGGAACCAACGAACGGTTCGGACACTGTGGACACCATCACGGTCACGCCTCAGTTAATGGGTACACATCAGGTTGTAACAATGAGCAACGAGCCTCAGGTACTTCAAGTGCTGTCGCTGAAGGATGCGGTCTTAACAAAACCTATCGTGACCTCGGCAGGTGAGGTGAAAGAGGAAGTAGCGACTGCCTCGTCGGACCAGTAGGGGTGTAAATTTTGCATGAGTGTATGTGTGTGTGGATGTATGTGTGAGACAGAGCCAGGTGATATGTGTCTATTTGTGCAGCAATATGAACGTGTTTGTCTGTGTGCATAGTTTGTGTTCCTTTTTAAAAGGAAAGACCATCTGGCTTTGTTGCTAATATCTGTGCAAAAAATAAAATGGAAAATAATTAATTATTCTCGGGCTACCGGCCATGTAAGGTGGTTTAATGGAGAAAACACCAATGTTTCAAGAACCAACTTTGTCCTCGTTTTAATGGTACTGAGTTCTGAGGACAAGAACAGAGATGGTTCTTGAAACGTTGGTATTTTCTCCGTTAAAGCAACTTACACGGCTGGTAGCCCGAGAAGAATTCATTATATTTAGTCGCTGTGAAAGCTTGAGATCATACAAAAAATAAAATATGATTTTAACATTACAGTTATCTCATAAACAGTGGCGTATGTACCGGTAGTCTGTAGTGGCTGAGAGGGCTGCTAATGTTCATTAGTTTCAGGGTATTTCAATTTTTTATTTTCATCACTTTTGAATGAACTGTGTTTGGTAGTACTCTAACAAGTCCATAAAAATGGGTTGATTAAGAATAACCACAATTTCTGAACTAAAATGCTACATTTAAATAGGAATGGTAGACCTGTAGCTTAGAGAACCTTAATAACTCGACTTATTACCTGACAGCTCTTGTATTTTTTTTGTGAAAGAATTAACTTAATATTATTTCAGTGACACAGTTTATGCAAACTAAGAAAAGCGTGATTATATACAGTTTTACAAAGTGTTGGTTCACGTAGCGTGTAAGAAATAAGTCAAATGAAGTGAGTGCAAAGGATTTTCATTTACTTGCACTTTCCCTGTGTTCATTACAAAATGTGTTAATAGTGTAGTTGTTTACTGTGTGTGTTACGTACCTGCGTCCATTGTGATAGTCATTCCCCTTCCAAGCGATTTAAATGGATAGTATGAGATTATAAGCCCCAAAATCTCCTTACTGTGGTAAAAATTAAAGAATCTCAGGTTAGGAAAACAATGAAGTAAGAAATATACTTTAGTGTACAAAGTTCCCACAATCTGAGGTATTTTAGGAATCTCTTTGCTGTCCATTTTATCGGTATGATTGAGGACACGATTGACTTGTAGCAAATCACGAGATAGAGCTGACCAAAATTACGTGTAAATGCCGTACTTACGCGTGTTACAAAGAATTATTAGTTCAGATGTTGTGGTTGGGCTCCAGTTTTTAAATAACATAAATAGTTTGTAACCTACAAAATTACTGCAGAGTGCCATGGAAATGCAAAACATTCTTTTATTTACCATTCAGCAGTATAAGAATACAAGGTATTTTCATGTGAGAGTCATACTTTTTACTGTAAAAGGATTGATTAATTATTTGTTTTGCAGTTTTAGTTTATAGAAATTGTCAGACGCTTTGGATTTTAACAATTTTTTTGGAAGCTGATAATACATTAGCCCTCGGTTTTGTAGTCATTTAAATAGTTCCTAAATGTGACATTTTATATAAAATGTTGAATTTAAAGGGGTTAATGCCCTTGACGTGTCAGAGTACTACATGCGTGACGTTTTTGTCTTATTAAGGAGAACAAATTTGGATTTTGAGAGAATTATTATTTGGGGGGGAGATACTTTGTTGCTATGAAGATGGATGTCTTCTTTAATGATATGATTGTAGTCTGGTGGATACTGACTGATGATTCAGAGGAGCTTACTGCCCTTGAATCATCAGTCGGTATCTTACAACACCGCATGATATAACATCCCACAAGACATGCATTTTCATACTTGTCACTGTGAGAACCTGAAGTCTCACCAATTATGTTAGTATACAGAGAAAAGTGCAAAACTCAATTTCTGCGGTAATTCCGCCATATATATCCTTGTTTAGGGCAAGAACAGACATCGTTGGACTCTGTGAACTTTACCATGGCAGGCAACAATTTTTCTTTTAAAGAACTGCTGGACATAAATGGTTCATACATTTTGGACAATGCTGTTAATGACACAACTGTTCCAGTAATGCGTTTCATTATCATTCACCTCCATGTACAAAGGATTAACATTATAAAGAGAACAGCCATGTTAGGAATGTATATTTGATGGTTGAGAGAGGGCCTGATACAAAACACCAAGTATTTCATCCACCATGTAAGCATTCTGAGTAGATCCTACATCAATTCCTTACTGAGAAGGTTTGCAGTTTTTACCAATGAAGTGCTGTTTGAAAGTGTGAACTATGCATTCATTTAGAACATGTTTTAACTATCGAGGGAACTGACCTACTAAAATGCATGAAAATAGAAGAATGATGTAATATGATAACAAAAATCATACTGAAACATTCATATGTCAGACAGATTTGATATTACAATCTTGAGATCTGAAACTGCCAAATTAACAAACATGCTGTGAGCTGTAGCTTCTATCTGCCGTAATTGAGGAGTAAAGTGTGACATATTGTAGGTTAATTGAAAGCAGTGTAGCATTGTTACGATACATTTTGAACATTTGGCAATCTCATTCATCAAAGATGAAGATGTCACACCTTCCAGCTTCTGTAATTGGATAATGCTCTCTGCAGTCCTTTTAAATTTTTTGCCTATTTCTTAGTAATGAGCTAAAACCCTTTTGGCTGGTCACAGTGGCCGCGTGGTCTGAGGCGTGGGCCTTGTGCCGCTTGGACACTGGGACCGTGGGTTCGAATCCCACTCAAGGCATTGATGTTTGTGTGTGTTGTGCTGTCCTTGTACAGGTAGAGGCCTTGCGATGGGCCGATCGCTCGTCCAAGGAGTGCTACCAAATTAGATCAAGCAAACCTCCGAAAAGAGAGGAAAAAAGCAGACCCCTCCAAAGCGGGACAGATGCTAAAGAATAAGAAGAAGAGCTAAAACCTTTTTTAATAAATCTTCATCATCATAATGCCGTGCCTTGAGAATTTCACATCTGTGGATACTCTGTTTGCAATACCATTTCCTGTCGCAACACATTTCTTCCTCTTGTATTTGTCCATGGTCTTTCTCTTTTCTTTGTATCCCCCTTCACATTGTTTTGCTGCCATATTCATTATTGATTTTGCTGTGCGTAACATTGTTGTTAATTTAGTGTTTAAATTAAGAATAAATATGAAATTTATGTGATTGAAATGTTATTTTACATTCTTTACCAAAATTAGTTCAACACAATTTACATTGTTTTGCAAGTTCTGTACTCACACAGAATATTACTTCCCTTTTCGCAGTACTGATGTTGCTGCCATCTGAGAAGTTAACACAACTTCCATGTTAGAATTATTGATGATGGGGCATTAAACTCTAAGAACATGGGTGTCCTCTGTGGTGTGATTTTTCAAAAAGAAGAAATTACCTCTTTAATAGTGAATATTGCTTTTGGTATGGGTGGAGGGAATTGTTCTCTTGTACTAGATGAAGTTTTGTTAAATTCAATATGATCCAGGGTTGTATTTGTATGGTTAGTGAGAACATATTCTTGGTTTCTGGTACCAACATAGGTATTCTGTTCAGGCCCCAAAATGTCTCTGATAATGATTTCATACACGTGGAAAAAGGAATTATGTAGAAGTAGGATATGAGGTTTTCACAGCAGTGAGTCTGAAGATGGCTGTCTTCTGGGTTGTTGCACAGTGCGATTATGGAGGCAGCAAGGACCACTGAAACGTCGGTAAAATTCTCTACCAGGCTACACGGCGCAACAACCCAGAAGACAGCCATCTTCAATTGTGTAGATCTTCCAACTTGAAAAAGGCGCTGAACCATTTTCATCAGTCTGATTTTAGAGGTGCATATATCCTTTGAAGCAATCCGTGATCCATGTAAATACAATGACAATAAATGTGAAACAAATAACAATCCATGTGTGAACTGTCCTTGACCTGCTTAAGGCATTGATGTTTTGGACTTCACATTCGTTCCAAATTGACTGTTTTTTGTTATTGTTTTATTTTTTTGGGGGGGGGGGTATTTTCAGCAATCAGCAAATTGTTAAAATGAGTCTGTCTGGCATTGTGAAATGTATTGATACATATTAATGAGACTGATCCAGTTCTGATGGATAGTCTCATGCAGTAACCAAATAGCTCAGTTCTGAGTCCTTCCTTGTGCCCAATACATACTGTGTATGGACAAACAGTGTATATATATATATTTTGCATTTAGACTGATGAGTGAGTGTTCGACTGTTATGTTTCTTTCTTTGTCAGATTTTGTTTTCTTTTGCACTTTTATTTTGCTTCATGTGATTGTTGTGCCATAGAAAATATTGGTAGTGTAAGGACACTGGTCATGAAGATGTGGTACGTTTCAGTTTGCTGTACAACCCCATTCTTATCAGCTTCTCCTTTGATTGCACTCCTGTGCCAAAGACAGTATTTTGGAACATGGATTTCACAAGTCATGTGCTGTTTCTTCAGGGATTGAAATTTAAACAAATCAGGTTCAGTTTTAACTGAAAATAGACTGATTTTGTTATATTAGTTTGTAAATATGCACAATTTAACTTAATTGTAAGGCATTAACTGCCATTATATTTATTGGCTTCTTGCCATACTTAAGTGTCACCGTGTGTTATGATTGTGTCCAGTAAGCAAGATTTTATGTCTGCCTGAAGAAAATGTACCCATTTTGTGAAAACCTTTCCCTGCCATTGGACCAAATGAGCCACCGAGGCAGGTTCTTCCAGGTCTGACATAATTCAGTATGACGTGTGCTGAGAGTGTGATGTTCTGTTGAGTGTAATTTATGTATGTGTTAAGAGATTGCACACCCATGCAATTATTTTATATTTAGCACTTCCTGCTAGTTATCTTGTGCATAGAAGATTTTGTTATGTTATACAGTTTTTATGAGCGTTCTGACAGTTCTTGCATTGCCTGTGTCACCAGGTTTGTCAGTAGCAGGACTGCGTAACTATACTGTTCGAAGGAAAAAGTGTCTCAATGACTTGAGTGTGGCAGAATGGTCATCCAAGTCCTCTGAAGGTTCAAACATACACATTAGAAAGTACAGCAGTTTTGTCCACGTGTTAACTGAATCAAAGTATTACAAGAATGTTGTGAAATTTTACATATGCAGAACAGCGGTAGACAAGATGTAAAGGTATGAAACAAATGGTTAAGACACTTTTGCTCGTGTACAGTAGATCAGTCAATATTTCTTGCTATTTAAGTGTTTCTTGCAGTTGTTATTATTTATGTGAAGAAATATTCAGCCAATTGAATACTGTACTTCAGGCATTACTTTTTATACTGAATTTTGATTTGCTGATATTTTCAGGTAGGTTATAATAATGGATGAAGTTGATTAACTTGACCTTTATTTTTGTTGCACTTAATATTGGAATGTTTTTACATATTTACCCATGGCATTTAGGAATTCTACAAGATTTTAATCAGTTCAGATGTTGATTGTAAAGTTGTTAGAGAGAATTACATCCTGTGATATGTGATGAAGGTTTATTCTTCTGTATACTGTGTCTCAAAGTCTCTGTACTGCAGCTATTTAGTATGTTAGTTTATGGCGGTCTCCGGGAAAACACAAAACTCAGTTTTGTTCTCTCCTACCAAGAAACACCTATTCTCTCTGATGGTTCACATCTTGCCAGTTTGGTCATGATGATTTTTGCATTTGCAAGTCCGTGATGATAGACAATTGAAAAATGTATTAATTGGCTGAATAAAGAACATTTTATTATGATATGAATGAAAAATGTATTAATTTATTACAAACAGCTCAAACAATTGCTGTCTTACTGTCAGTGACATTTTTCAGTTTTAATCTTAATTAAACATATTGAAATAAAACAAGAAACATAAGACAGCATGTTTTGGGTTACTTCAGTGAAAAGTAAATTACTAATTTTAATGAAATGCTTGTAAGAATAAGGGGGAAAATCTGATTGAACAATTTTTGAAATTGAGGCTTGCCACAAAAGAGTGGGTAACATTACTTGTATAGCACATTTTGAAAACTGGACAGCAGCAAAGGTCACAGACATTCATGTTTCCTAAGTGCCTTTCTAACAACTTTTATTTTCTTCAGAGTTAAATTTTTGTGAATAAAATTACTCCAGGAAAAAGAAAAAGGTTAACTGTTCAACTACTTAGTAACTGCTGCTCCAGATTGGCTAATCTTGTTGAGATTAGACACCAGTTTGAAGACTAAATTATTATACTAGCATTTTTTGTTTGCATTCAACTTCATTTCCATATTGGTGCATAGCTGAGATTCACATTAATAAAGCCATCCCTGAGTATTTCGTTTTATTAATTGCCAAGAATTTCTGCCCTCATACTGTTCAGTGTAGTGTGTAGTTCAACTTTTTATACTTTGCTTTTTAAGCTCTATTTTGTTATCCTACCATCTATGCCCTTGGTCTTAAAGTAGTTTCTTTTTATGAACTTTTTCAGTGATCAACCCTTCCCAGTATGTCTTGATTTAATTTTATAACCCTGACAGTTGTAGGAGAAGAGTATGTTTGTAGTTCCATTTTATTTTAATTTAAATAAGCTCTTTCCTTCTTTTAATTGTATTATATAAAAATTGTTTTTTAAAGTCCTATTCATTACTTGACTTCTTGAATATTTACATCAAAACTACAGGTGTTTAAAAATTACTCTTTGAAGTTGACCTGAAACTGCATTGTGTCATCCTGATGTATATTAAGATAATTAAATTTTAAGCTTTGGTTATGATCTTCGTCATAATCTGTATCTACAACATATACTTTTCATACATTCTTTACATACTTTCAAACTTTAACCTGTCTTTGGATGCATACATTATGAAGCATTTCTTAATTTCTTCATACATAATATACCATTTCTGTTTTGTGTAATTTATGTTCACAAGCACTTTGTAGTTTTCTTTCTTACATTCCTCCCATTAAGTCTGTAATGTTTTTCAAAATGTATTCCCTTTGATGTTCTAGGAGTAGAAACATGGTATCATATGGTATGATTATTTTGTGAAAACAAAACTTTTGCTGAATACATGTAACTTCAAAATATTTGGCTTGGTGATTTGAATGTTAACAATATTGTGTATGTTTGTAATTTGTCTTCATTTATGCACAAATTTAATTTATAAATGTTTGACCAACTTAATGTTTGTCATGGTAATTCAAAGTTCTTGAATTTGGTAATACATTTGAAGATTTCTGTCTTTTGGGTTGTTGCGCTGTGTAGACTGGTTGATGTTAATCAACGTTTCAGAGGTCATACTGCCTCCGTCATCAGGGCGATGGTTTAAAATTGGTTTAGAAAACCATATTTAGACCAATTTTAATCCATTTTGATCAAATGAATTAATTTCCCTGTTGCCACTGATGATGACCTCTTGAGGTTGAAACGCGTATGGCACTAATGTCTTTTTTATAGTGTTAATAGTTTGTTTGTTCGCTTATTTTATATTCTAATACACTACACGGTATGCAAAGTTTCAATCTTAATTCTGCATCTCTTTCACAGTGTTTTAATTTTGTCTTAGATTCATTTGAATAGCACATATCTGTCGTGATGTATCTTGTTTCCTGGACACAGTCTAACCATGCAGAAATGGTCTAATGTTTGGCACCTTTGGAAAATTAATTTGAAAGACTTCTAAACCCTACATATAGTATCAACTCATCACTGTCTGTATTGTGTACTATTTATCTTGATTTTCATGGAGTGAGTCAATACTGATAACTATGGCGTGTGATGTGGAAATAAATCAGTACTAGGTACGTAATTGATGATGTCCTGTTCAGTGATAAAAAAAAAATAATTCCAGGCATGTGCAATTTATGAAAAATATGAAGTTACAACATCAGTGCGATATATGTGATCCCATTCATGTAAGTTTTGTGCATGTGTGTAAAACATAAGAAAAATAGGAAAGATAAAAATGTTTTTTTTACTGTGGTAGGAAAGCTAGTAAAAATGTTGTCATATCTTTCTTGTTTGTTGAAGTCAATGTCAAGTTTAATACTTCACTAGATCTTAAATGTTTTCTGACGTCTAAGAAATGGACATTTTTAAAAGTTATTACTCTGCCTTATATTGTGTTCAGGTCATTGGTAATTTATATTTGAGAATGTTTTAGGCAGTTCATGTTTGTTTTTAAGTAATTTGACATTGTTTTGCTGTAATCCATAGGTATTTAAATTACGTTGTTATATAATATGCATTATTACGATACTGTTTGTATCCTCAGTTTTTGTTTGTACCAGTAGTGCACTGTCTGAGTGAGGGACACCAGTAACACTGAAATGTGATCTTGTCTCCAAACATTTGAGAGAGCACCACCGGTTTCTACCATCACCATTACTGTTATATTTGACTGTTCACCATGTTGGTGAACATTGCATCTTTAAAATATACAGCAAGGGTATTCCAAGTTTGTTTTATTTAACCGATATTACAACCCCCAACATGGCAAGACAAATTGCATTCCGAAACGATGACTGCCGACAGGAAAAGAGGACATTATGTGATATTTGCATGTGGTGGAATAGGCCCTAAAAGCTGATTGTTTTCCCATTACCTTACTACTTAAGAACATGCTGTTATTATCAGGATATTGTGAACTTGTAGCTGAACTCTTTGACTTCATTGCAGTAAATGTGGTGACATCTCAGTATACAAATCTGAGGCTTTACTGTGCATGTGCTGTTGCAGAAATGGCACAACAGAATAAAGATGACTGAAAAATTCAATGATGACATATCCATTCATGCTGCCTCACTTCAAGCGCTGATGCTGTGAAGAATTAATGACAGTTTTCTTCAGAAGGGAAAGTGTGTTTCCATGTAGACTTGTGCATTCTCAGCCTTCGCACGAGATGGATATGTCTTCAGTTTCGCGTTCTGTCTGCTGATACCCAGAAAGAAAGTGCCTTTGGTATGTGATAGGAAGAAGTAAGATGTGTCTGTGCACAGGTCATGTGATTTAGACCATGATTATCTTCAACTGCATTCAAGTTGAGAATAGATAACGGTACTTTGATTAAATCTAATATTGAATGGTATTATGAAAAGTGGAACAAATTTTCAGTTTTCATTTAGACTGGATTATTTTAATGACCACTGTACATACGAGCATAATTAATTTCTTTAGCTTATCCAAAATACGTGGGGAGAGGTTCAATAAAATTATTTATGCTATGAGGATAAACATTAATATCTTACATAAATGAACATTCATTACAGTATTAAAACACCCGTCATCAAAGTCACTGCACCAGCAGATCTTATTTACGGCACATATTAAACTTAGCAAACTCAATTTACCAAATTTCTGGTAGGACAAAAAAGAATCATGATATTGGTTACTACTATAGCACACAAGTTATGGATCAAATGTGATTAAGGTAAGATTGACAGAAGTCACCTTATCCAACAATTTCCAGACCTCACCCTGCTTCCGACCACTCACCTTCTCTCAGCTTTGATAAGAAAAAAACACTTCAATTTTTGTGTTGTTTATTTTTACAGCTACATTTTTTCTTTTAATTTAAATGAAAATGTACACTGCAAAACTTTCATACCACATTACTGACCCACATAATGGGCCTTTCATGCGCTGAAATTTATTGCAGTATTAAGAGTTCACCATTCCAACTAAGTACTTTCTATGTCTCTGCACTTGCCTATATTTCATACACATTCTTCAGAGCCAACTCTGGCTTGTGATAACCCATTTCTTCCGGGGTGCTGACGCCCAGTTCATCTAGAGTTGGTCGGATCTCCTGAAGAATATATGGGTAAATCTCTTTGACGCGACCCCCACACTTCGACTGAACAGCCTCGAGGAACCTCACAGCCAGAGCGAAGTCGCTTACTCGTCGACATGCTCGAAGTGCAGCGCTGATGATTTTAGGTTCTGGTACAAGGTCCATACCTGCCAAGTCGTTCATCGCTTTGCGAATCTCCCAACCATCGATGTCTTGTCTATTAAAATAGGCTTCATACCTTCTGTCGAATTCTTCGTCTGTTTCCGTTGAATGCTGCGACATCAACCGGGTAGGTACAACTGACGTTGTACGCCCAATATTTTGTATGGCAACACTCCGAACAACTGAATGGATTCGGCAGACTAAAGTTCTTAGCATTCTGGCGGCTGTTTGATTAGAAAATTAACGTGTACTTCCTAGTTCTTCCTCCTCCGATATCACACCCAACCTTCAGCTGTTGCCCAAGAGCGAAGACGAAGAATCTAAGATGGTAGAAATGCGAGAGTTCCGGTCACAGATATTATACAAATGCCTAAACCCCTGTGATTGACGTCGTTCGCAAATAAAATATTTGAGAGCTGTTTTTCGAGAACATCGTCTTGACGTGTTCATCATTAGCCAAGTCAGTTATCAGATGTTGGTTTTCTGGGTTGTGATGCATTAAATTAGGCTATGAGCGCTTCCTTCCACTCTCTTTCCAATATGTAATTCACTATAAACCTGTTATTCGACTCTATACAGTCTGAGATCCTGAAAGCGTCATTAAATTAACTTTAAAAAAGTTGTGGGTGAAATAACTATATAAATACTTTTAATTTTCTTCCTGTTTGTTCGTCTGAGACTTTCAAAGGTTATAAAATTCAGGAACGTTCTCTTTGAGAGTATATGATTCGACTGACGTGATTTCACCGGATTAGATAATGGCGGTGTTGTTTAGTATGTTGATGTGCTAATGAATGTCGTGTGAATTACTTTGTTTCTCTTTTACTTTACATGTTTAAATTATAGTAAAACAAGCAATACAATAATGGATCACAGATCAAGAAAGAGGATTAGAGAAGTGAAAAAGAAAGCTAGACCAGGTTAGGTGCTTCAGGATGTGCTTATATAATCAATTGAGTTGGGGGTTAATGCATAGAATGGAATAGAATAGAATTTATTTACAATCCATAGATCCTTCATAAGTCTAAGCCAGGGATGTAGAACAGGTCATAGCACAAATGTTGCTAGTACAAATATAAGTACATAGTTATAACAGCTATTTACAGATTTTTGAAACCACAGTGTACATATCGTTTCCAGTTTTGTGTTTTTAACATGCTCATACATATTTTAAATTGGAAAATAAAATTCAGAGTTATTGGCAGGTGATATGCCATGCCATTTGCTGTTAATGGCCTTAAGTGGTTTGATCATACATTTCATGAGTTTTGGCTGATTTGTTTAAAATTGACTGCATGGTTTATCGAAGCTGTATTTAATCTTATTAACCAGAAGAGGGCTAGGAATATTCCTTATACTGTGGTCTGAGCTTGTGCTTAACATGCATATGTGGTGTTCAGATCACACATTTGAAACCACAGAAGGAATGTGGAAACGATATGTTAGCGGTAATGTATGCCTTTGACAAAGGGAAGGAAATGTGTGTTCTTTACAGAATGGAAGTACTGATTAAGAAATTGTGTACACCAGATTAAGTAGTAGTCTGCTAATTTGCTTTGTAGCTTATTCCATTGTCAGAGGCCAAGCACAAACAGCATTGTTTGCTATCATTGATTTCCCTTTGCATATCTTTTATATTTTATTAATTAGCAAATTAAAAATAGTTCAGACATATTTTGTTATCAATATTTCACCTTATTTGCATTTTTGGGGGATGTGATTAGCTATTGCCTTTGTCCCTATTCTAAGCCAGCTGAGTCCATTCTTCACCCTCCTTCTCCCTCTTGTATGTTTTCCTCAGTTGTGACATGTTAGTGAAGTGTATGTTTAATATCTTCTTTCAGAATTGAATGACAAAGGAGACTGGTCTTTGCTGGGATATGTAGACCATTTTGATTCATTTTCGACTGTTAATGACAATGTTGAAAGAATTCATGTGAAAGATTTTCCTCCTAGTGAATTTATAGAAAAGTATGAGAGACTGTACAAGCCAGTGGTTATTTGTGGAATTCAGGATAATTGGAAAGCAAAGCATAAATGGACTTTGGAGGTAAGCTGTATTATAAGGATGTCACACATTGCTAAGTTGACAGATGACATTATTGTTGTTGTCATCATCATTGATGATGTTGATATGTATATTTGCTATTTTTCTTTGTTTTGGGCTATGCATGGCACATGTAATTGAATTGTATGTTAAATTCTAATTTTCCATTATCAAGGAGGACAAAAGCCCACTGAATTGTCCCAAGAAGCCTCACGTAATTGAGAGTGCTTTCATTTGTACTTAATTCACTTATTTTTATTTAATATAAGTATTTTTTTCATACTTCAAGATAAAATGTAACATACTTTGGTATTCTTTCTGTTCTCATCTGTTTGTTAAACTGTGTTCCTAATTTTTGTTTATTGTGATATATTTTAATTATTGTAGAGTTGCTAGATTACCATCAAATTATGTTGTTGCTTTTACAGAGGCTGGCTAAAAAATATCGAAACCAGAAGTTCAAATGTGGTGAAGACAATGAAGGTTACAGTGTTAAGATGAAAATGAAGTATTACATTCAGTACATGACAACTACTCAGGATGATAGCCCACTTTATATATTTGATAGCAGCTTTGGTGAGGTACTTTTATGTGCCTTTGTTTGTTTGTTTGTTTTTCTCACTTTAAAAAACAATTGGTCTCTTATGAACATTTCAGACCACGTGTGTGTGTGTGTACATGCGCACGTATGTATTTGCGTGTGTGGAGGGGGTTATATATTTTATTTCCCTCTTAGTTGTGGTGTCCTTGAAAAATATTCTCATTTGAAATTAATTGTTGGCAAGTGACAAGAGACAATTTAAAGTTTTCATATTTTACTATGCCAAATTTTAATTTGTATGCGTATTGACTTTTTTCTAATTGAAGGAAAAATTGGTGGCATAATGGTATTGTAGAATATATCTTCCAGCCTCTAATCATGTGTTTAATGCCTTGTGATACTGTGAAATATTCATTTGACATTATGGAGCTTACAGAAATAAGCTTTGAAGTTAAGACTTGTATGCTAATTTTCATTATCATATATGATTTGTGCAAACACATTCATACTGGAATTGTAATGTGATAATATACTTTGGGATCATACCATTACATTTTTTAAAATATATATATATATATACTGATACATGTAACTAGCAGTGTGACCATTATCTTTTCTGGGTAGCCTAGTGATGTGTCTTATTTTGTTTTTGTTTTATCCCCATGCCAACAGAGGGTGTTGAACTGCCAGAAATTTAATCTGAAATTCTGTATCTAAGGAACTGTTACAGTCTCTGACTCGTTTACTTACTTGATAGAGATATCTGTAATGTATCGACACAGGAGGAACGTGTCATATTGTTAAGATAGTTTATTGGTACAGAGATTCTAATGTTTCAGATTAGAAGATACTGAAAATTTTCAGTCAAGGCTTCTGTTCTATCTAATATTACTTAGGAAGTATAGATTTAAGTATCAAGTGACAATGTTGGTGTTCTGGGTTCTGACGTATAGACGTATAGGTAGATAACCAGTGTTTTTGAGAAACACGCTATCTCCATCTTTTCAGCTGAAGATGGAAACAGTATGTTCCTCCAGAATGTTGCTGTCTGCCTAGGAGTCTGCACGGTGCCAGAACCCAGAAGAACATCATTGTCTTTTTGACCGCCACAAGACTGTCATATCTCACTTCAGCATTAAGTATGTATATAACGTATGGATTACAGTACGTCATGTTAAGAAGATTTTACTGTAAGTGGAAATGTGTTGGCAGCATGCCCGCCGCAAGAAACTCCTTCAGGATTATGAAGTGCCAGTATATTTCCGCGATGACCTGTTCAAGTACGCCGGAGAGGAACGTCGTCCACCGTACCGTTGGTTTGTCATGGGACCTTCTCGATCGGGCACGGGCATTCACATCGACCCACTGGGTACTAGTGCCTGGAATGCTTTGGTGGTCGGACACAAGAGGTGAGCGGGGATGAGTTTGGGGTCCAGGTGTTTTGATTTACTACAACCCACCACTTCGTTTTGTCTGGGTTTTAAAACTGTCATATTAGGTCTTATCAGACTAAAGCATGGTTTTAGGGATGTCATGTTAAGTCGTCGGGAGGACTGTTTAAGGATCTTTTATTTGAACGCATGATGCAGACTTCCATGTCCAGTTTTGCTGTATTTATATTTGAATTTGGAAGTTGTTAGAATTTTGATTGAGTCTGTCAAGTGTTGTTAATATGTTATAGGTGGTGCTTATTTCCAACACACACACCGAAAGAATTACTGAAAGTGACATCAGTAGATGGGGGAAAGCAGCGTGACGAAGCCATTACCTGGTTCAGAGTTGTGTATCCCCGGACTCAACTTCCATCTTGGCCAGAAAGCTGCAAGCCTGTATGCATAATTTAATATATAATTATGTATAGAATGCAGAGGAAAAAGAAAAAGAGGGGAAAATAATAGGTTGAGAGATGTTGATCATTCATCCTCAGGCGTCTAAAAGTCTCTTCACCACTTGTACTTTCTCCTCTTGGTTTGTACAACTGAATAACATAAAACCAGGAGCAACGTCTTGGCATCATTTTTAAGTTACGGTAGTAAATATGTATGGTTGTGTATAATATAAAGCTTTTGTGGCAAGCAATATTAATAAAGCCTTCTTGTGCTATCAGCTGTGTGACTGACAAATTGATGTGAATGATAGCTCAAGAAGACTTCATTAATGTGTGCTTATATCTAAGTGCCGCAGCAGAATGTGTTGACCAGTAAGTTGTATGCTAGTTCTGGTCTCGTGTCTTGCAGCTGGAGATCTTGCAGAAACCAGGTGAGACTGTATTTGTGCCTGGTGGGTGGTGGCACGTAGTGCTAAACCTTGACATGACGATTGCCGTCACTCAGAACTTCTGTAGTCGTACCAACTTCCCTGTCGTGTGGCACAAGACAGTACGTGGCCGTCCCAAGCTGTCCCGCAAATTGTACAGGGTTCTAAAGGTAATGATTTTAATTTACCTTCAAGTCTTGTTAAAAGACTTGGGGGTTCTTCAGTAAAGATGTATAGACTCTGCCATTGTTTTAATCAGGTGGCAAGTATCATTTTGACCCATGAGCTTGCCTTCTTTTGTTCTGCATCAATTTTACTGTATTTTAAACTTTTTAAAAGTGCTTTAATTCATTCTGCCATAATAGCACAACTCGTACATCTGCAGAGATATCTGACGATTAGTTATTTTTTATTTGACAGAAGTTTAGTGCAGATAATGTTTTGCATATTGTGAATGTTCGGTTAAATGCTTTGCTGAAATTATAGCCAGCAATCACAAAGATCTGATGACTGGACATTTGTTATTTCTGCGTACCAGTATTTGAGAGGATAGTTTTGTAAAGTCTTAATGGTACCTGCACCTTGTCGTGGTGGTGGGGCTCGAGTACCTCAGTGACCCCAAAAGCTATGCTGGCGGTAGCATAGCTACTGGTAGGGCCTCCCTAGTCAGATTGGTCGAGGGGGAGAGGTCCTCCAGGTCGCAAGGCTAACAACCTTGCACCGTAAAGAGGAAGATGTTTCGAAACCTCGGTCAAAGCCTCAGACAGACGGACCTAACAGAGGACCGAATGGAAGAGGAGAATTGAGGAGGCCATGGATCGAATACGGACCGGAGAGCCATAGAAGAAGTTTTGTAAAGTTTATGTTCTGATTTTTTTCCTAATTAACAAGTGGGCATTTATTTTTTGTTTGTTTTAGTAAACATTTCCAAATTCAGGTAGTATAATGCAGAGCAGTAAATGTTAAATCAAATTCTGGGATTTAAATAATAAGTGTCCATGACAGAACATTTCTCGTTATTCCAAGTAGACCTGTGATTGCTATGTTCTTATATATTTAAGAAGTAGTAACAGCTTTTTGCTAAATAAAATAGTCTCTGAAGGTAGATTATAATACAGCCCTGACCGCCTACAAGCAACACTAACTAAAATGCATTGTTACAACTGTAAAAGGAAATAAATTAGTGACTATTTGTGCACAGTACAATACTTATAAAATGTATAGGTATAGAATAGATTTAGATACTTGGTACAGATTACTTTATAGACTGAGTATCAGCAAACGGTTGAATGTATTAGAAAGGGTGAGGAAGGGAAATGCAAATATTTTTAGATCCTAGAGTAGTTTGCTCATTATTTGTCTGAGTTTGATGTCTCTTCTCCCTCTGTATAGCCATTGTGGGCAGTACAGTATTTTCTGTTCAAAATTTGGTGATTAATATGAGGTTAAACAGTTTTACAAAGTCTTGTTGTGTGTGTAATACTACAGAAAACATTTAGGTGCGTTGCTGAACATTTTTTTTCGCCCTGTAGGAAAAAGAGCCAGCTTTAGTATCTGTCGCCGACTCAGTGGACCTGAACACTAGCACTGGTGTTGCATCAGATAGTTCAAGTGGTTCTACTTCAAGTTCAAGTGATTCGGATGATTCATCATGTTCATCTTCTAGCGGTGATGATGATAGTGGTCAGGAATCACTCACAGCTCATAAGAAAAAGAAGAGGTGTGTTAATGTAAAAGCAATTGTAAACGAGTGGAATGGGTTTGTGGTGAAATAGCAAACATAATGTCAAAAAAGTGTTTCAACCCTAAGTAGGATTTGAGCTTCTGCACTCTAAGAAAGTATTTCTCTTTGCAGAAGGAAGCCGACTCATTCACCAAAGAATATCTCGTAGTAATTCTCTTGGGGTATGCATAAATAGGTGAGTTTTTATCAGTTGAATGTGTGACGGTCTGTTATTGCCCATCTTACTTTTAGTTTCCTTCGTTCAGCCTTTGTTTATCTTCTTGGAGGTTGTGCGCAATTTTAGCGTTTCAAGGGAACTCTTCTTTTTCCTTCAGAATACAGTTAGAAAATTGTATGTGTTGGCCCATTTCCCAATTTGGTACTTGTTATTCTAGTGTGCCATACACGGCAAAGGCTTATGAACGCTATCCATGCATATTGTACGAGCCAGAAAGTGTTAAACCTCGTATCACACTTGACATTTCTTAACTGTTTGGAATGAATGTGTTCTCTTGTTTTAGGATAACTCGGTGATACGAGAAGGTGATAGTCGACTGGTGTTCCTAAGCCGCCTGTGGCCAGTTGTTTTTACTATTTGTGGTACACTTGTTATTGGAGCTGATCTGCAGATATGGTCAAGTGAATGTGGCAAGTCTTGTGGTAGCTGCTGTACTTTTATCACATTGCAATCCCATCCAATACCTTTTGTTTTGTTGTAATAATTTTTGTGTAATGCAGGGAAATACTTGTCAGGCAGTAGGAAAACTTAAAATTCGCAACATGTTAATTTTGGAGACCTGGTTACAGAATGTTACGACATGTGCACATAGAATGTGAACGTTGTGAATGAAATCTTTACCACCTCTGTCAGGATTTATTAAAAACTTGTAATTAATAATTAATGAAAGATAAACATTATAATTTATTCCTACACAGTACGTGAATTATTTGATCACGATATTACGTATCTTCCTTTAGTACTGAATAGATCTTGTTCTGTATGTCAGCGCTTTATTTTTATTTTATTTCTGTCTCCCTAATTTGAACAGGTCCGTACAAGTTCTTCTGGTCTTATTCGTGAAATATTTATCTGCAGGTGATCACGGCTTTCACTTGGAGGAAGAAAATTCTGACAGGTTTCCAAAATTTCTCTGTGAATGCAATTTTCATTTGTTACCAGCCACATTTTCAAAGGATTTATTGGCTGTAATTGTTTTGTCCCATAGGCTAGTGACCAGACATGAACATATGCTTACTAGAATCTAAAGATTTTTTTTTTGGTGGCATTTATGTTTTTACCCAATAAATTACTTGTGCTGCTAACAAGTTAGAGTGCATCCAGTATATGATGGTGAACCAGTTAATATGGTGTTGGTGTGGGACTTAAGATGCTTTTGTGCAAACACATCAGTTGAGTTTACTGCCAAGTAAAGCCAATTATGTAATCTATTGGCCTCAGTAAAGAAAATTCTGTTTTCAGTATCTTTTCCCATAGGACCAGTAATGGTTGTTCCAAGGTATCATCACCTACGCTTAATAAACTGCCAAGTTGTTTCGTTTCTGATTTTCCGTGGACATTTTCGCATTATGTTAAATAATAATGCTGTTGCACTTCTCGTGTGGATTGAAGTGCTTAATTTTGTTTAGTACTAATCAGAAAATATTCGAGCAAGACGTAATAAACAAGTGCCCCTTTGCATTGACATTTGTAAAAGATAGATTTTCTACAAAATCTGAAGCTGTAG